GGGGGGGGGGGGGGGGGGGGGGTCAAGTGGTGGAAACAATGTGTGCCGTGTACAGCTCAAAGAGGATGTCGACAGCAGTTGTTTCGTCGACATGGTGGTCAACTAAATCCAACAAGCCCAGAGAAGCGGAAAAGCTCATTAACCATCGATTGCGAACAAAATGGCGAAGGGGCACTGTGCTGCTGTTCATGCCACGTTTGTTGACCCGTCCATCCATCACATGGAAGAGATTGTAGCACCAATCGACGTTGTTTCTTGGAATCAAATACAGAACCGTTCATAACACACCTAATTGCCCGCCCGTGCAAACGTGAATAGCCTGAAAACATCAGCAAACAAATGTAGAACTATACTTCATTTGTGTTTTTCGTTTTTCCGTTCTAATGGTGTGTCAGGGAACACACGACTCGCCCTCCTTACATCAAAGAACTGGAGCCCCAGCTCCACGTCTCCGCTCTTTTCACAGCTCTCCAACGCCAGCTCGTACACCCCCTGAAACACTCGCGCCGACGATGCTCGTAACGCTACCGCCTCCCACTCCTGCGGAACGACACGGCACGACGGCCATCGTTGTTGGCAACAGGAAAAAACGTCAGCCGAATCCTTGAGCTTTTCCTAACTGCTCGTGATCGCAAAGTCAACCCATTGTTACCACATGGCCATAACTCATTTACCATAGACTCCTTTCAACAACAACACTTTCTACACAAAACACACATAACTCGGGTCCACATTCACGCTACCACGGGCATGCCAAGACTGCCTGCCTTGAGTACAAACCACTTCACCTGCCTCTACATTCGCTCTAATGCGGCATGTCAAGACCGCTGTCTACACAACGCCCACCTTGAGAACATCCCGCGCCTCCTGCGGGCGCCCCGCCTCAAGCAGGATCTCTACCAACACCCGGTCCAGGTGCACCGATCTCTTTCCGGCCTCGCTCGCAGCGTCGCGCACCTCCAGGGCCCAGTCCACGTCCCCCAGCGCCTTGGCGGCCTTGAGCGAGTACTCCAGCTTGAGGTGCGAGTGGCCTGCCTTGTTCGCCTGCGACACTCAAGCATGGTCGGGGTAGGAGGGGTAAGCCTAGGCGGGGGGGGTCAAGTGTCGCTCCGAAGGAGGCGCGTGTGTGGCGGTTGTTGTTGTTGATGTGGTTGTCCTTGCACCGGAAACTCTTTCGATATTCTCTTCGTACAGTACCCGCTGTTATAAAACCCAGTATTATCACCGGTCTAACTTTCGCGGACGTTCTTCGTGGCGGTGTTGTGTCCCCTCCCCCCCAAAAAAAAGAAGACGACAAGGAAGAGAAGGAGGAGACGCGCCCACAGAAAGTAGTCTTAATCAGGTTTTTCTGAGTAAGCATCGGTAGTGGATAGACTTAGAATCGGCGGGGTTGGGGGTTAGGGGTGGTTAGGGTTAAGGTGTGCGTGCCCCCTGCCTTGTGTTTATTCGTAATAATCTTACTTTCATTGCGTAGGCAGTCCCAAAAAAACAACAAAGCGGGAGACTCGGAGCGGAGATCTCTACACAGTCGGGTAACCTACCACTCACTCCGTATATACTGTAGCTTTCTTGACGTTACCACCCCCCTCACTCGTGGCACTATTGATAATAATAATACCAAATAGTTTGAAAACCACCTTGAACCCGTTGTCACCAACATTGCCCCGAAACTGAGCGGAAGGAAATCGATCGATGGCACTACCGCACGAAACAAAGTCTGGCTTGCGGAAAGTTACACGTTGGACATGAACGCGACCCGACTCGACCGAAGCCTGAAACACAAGAATAGCGGTGAGGTACACGAGGCCAAGAGGCCAGCGGTACATAGCGGTGCAATCGGACGCACCTCCAACGCCTCCACGTTGCGAGACCACGATTTCTTGACCTCGGCAAATCTTCCAAGATAGAACTGCGACATCATGAGGCACTTCCATTCGCTATTGCTCAGCTTTCCGTTCTCGGCAAGCTGCGCAAAAGGGGAGCAGGCATCGGAGGAGGAGATACAGCAAAAAAGAAAGTCGGGAGGGAGAGCGAGAGCGAGAGCGAGAGCGAGAGAGAGAGAGAGAGAGAGGGAGAGAGGGAGAGAGGGAGAGAGGGAGAGAAAGAAAAAGACGAGAGACGAACAAGAGGGAGACAGAACACCAAAAAAATCAAAGAAGCAGCGCATCACAATCTGGCCTCCAGGAAAAAATTACCAGTTGTGCTATGTACCAACACAACACCAGCGACGCACATATTGTACCAACATGCACACCGGGCGCCGCGATCGAGCGCCTCACGTGCCATGCCCCACACGACCCGATTACTGCTGTACGCTGCAGACACAACGAAATAAAAGAAGTGCTCTACGCATCACCAACTCAACACAGTAAGAAGAGGGCACAACAAGATAAAAGGGGTGGGCGAAGAGGATACAACGAAATAGAAGGGGTAAAGGAGAACGCATAGCTCACCACAGAAGAGGACATATCGAAATACAAGGGGTATGGCAAGAGGGTACAACGACATAAAAGGGAAATGCGAAGGATAAAACAAAACAAAACAAGAATTCATACGATAGCTCACCACCAGCGAGAAGACACAACAACAAAAAACAAAAATGCATCCAATGGCTCACCACCCAAATTAAAGGGCTATGCACAGCTCACCTTCACCGAAGAGACACAACAAAGTCTAAGGCGTTTTCTTAACTCCCCCAACCACCCAGAAGACAACACGAAACAAAGGGGCATGCAAACTAGCTCACCACCGGCGAGAAGAGTCACGACGAAATCAACGGGGGGGGAACATACAGCTCACCAACAGCAAAGAGACACAAAGGCGTGAAAGGGCTATTGCATAGATCACCACAAAATAAAACGGGTATGCATATACATGTCCTAGCTCACCACCAAATAAAAGGGGTACAGCAGTACGCATACAGCAGCTCACCACGAGCGAGAAGAGTTGCTCCGCCTCCTGCCACAGGCCGGCGTGGGCCCACCCCTTGGCCTTCCTCTGCAGCACCCTCATCGACGGCGGGGGGCCCGACCTAGCGATGGCCTCGAACGCTCTTTGAGCACCCTGTGCCCGGTGCGGGGTAAACCACTTCTCCAGACCGCCGAGGGCCGCCGCGTACGTCTCGTCCGTGGGCACTACCCTTTGCGCCTGGTGGATGCGTTCGGGGGGGGGGGGGGGGACCCATTTTTTGGTTGGCGGAAACCTTTTGCCCTTTACCCCCCCTCCCTTTTGAGAAGGAAACAAAAAACGGTTGGGGGGGGGGGGGGGGGGCCCCTTTG